TTAGCTGGCCCTGAGAGAGAAGCTTCCTTCTCATGGAGCACAAATGTCACACTCTTGGTCCCAGTTAGCTAAGAAATCTGGTTTTTTTCACAAGACAACATTGACTTTCCCACTTGTTCTATAGGGTAGATGGGCTGAGCACCCAAGGAGTGCTTATGTGCTGTGGTTTAGGAAGAGAATGATCCAAGGTGTGATGGGTATTCTCTTCTATGCATTGAGTTTTAGTGACTAACTGGAATTTTACCAGCATCATTCAGTGTTCGCGTTACAGATGGATAATTGGGGGTGCGTGCATGCTGGGGTAGTTACAGCATCGTAATTTTTTAATGAGAGTAGTCTCTGTTAATACAAAACAAGGCTGAGAGTAATTAATTGGTTGCAATATTTTATCAGGCGCAAATCACACTTTTCAACGTGTCTGTGTGGGGAAGAGGGGCAGCTCCATCGAGGAGCTTGGTTAGTCTGAGCAAGTGCAGGCAAACCTGTGGAGAGGTGATTCAGCTAAACCAGAACATGGGATTTGTGTCTCTCCTCCCTTTTTTTCGTAACAGGTATTAAATCATGACGCATGAATAATTTAAATACTGTTTCTCTAAAAAAACAATCAAACCGAGCTATGCTTTCAACAACAAAGAGAGTATTTTATATTGCCTCCCTGTAAGTGTAGGGTAAAGCTTGGGAGCACTTGGATTTACAGAGTTTCTGGGTGGTACCATGAGTCCTGCACAAGAGAGAAGACTGTAGAGAAGAAGGAACCACTGGTAATTCCCACTGCACTATTGTATGTCCCAGAGGACCTGTGCTGGGTACTCTTAAGAGAGGATATGCTGAAGATAATTGTTTCTACAGGTTTTTTGGTGACCAAGTGCATTTGCTAAGTGATGATGCTGTTTAAAGTGAACAGGTGAATTCGGGAAGAACAGTTTTTATGCACGATAACGCAGCAGGAGCAGTGGAGGCTCCTTCTCTCTCTCTCTGCAGCGAGCACTCGGCCAGTTTCAGAGCTGCCAATACCGACATCCAGCTTTGCCAGCTTACAGGGTTCAAGCAGAACATCTGCAGTTTTAGATGTTCGTGTCCATCAGAGGTCGTGTTTCTCTTGGATTTGCGATGAAGATGACCCATGAGCTAAACACTGAAATTTTTTTGTTAACTGCATTTGCTGGCTGGCTGGATAGTAGTAATTTTAAAGCTCGGTACTGAATTTGCTGAATAACATTAAAGCACACAGTATAGTTTGTAGTTTATAATTTAAAAGCGTATCTCCAGTTGTGGGTTGCACTCCTAGCTGGGGAAGCACAATGTGTGTGATATGCTGACCTTTTTTTATATTTACTTCTCATGGCTTTGCTCGTGGCCTTGGGCAAGAAATACAAGGACAAAGTCATTCATTCCTGGTCTGTCTCAGTACTTCACTCATTTGAAGTGCTGTGTATGCTCGCATTCAGCGTGCACAATGCTTATTGTTTCTTTTATGTCTAGAGTTTGCTTTGATACAGCAAATCATCTACTTTTCTTTTTACAGTTCATGTCCCTCAGGGCACAAAGTGTATTTTCCATTGGGCTTAAAATGGTTTAAGAAGATAAATCCCCCAGACGTCCAAAAAGATTTGTATCCCTGATAGTGGTGTTTTTTGAAAACCCCTTTCAAATGGTGCTGAGTACAAGCAATTGTGCTATGAAGGGGAAAGGTCGTGGTCGTCTTGCTACCCTTGGAAGGTACTACCAAACACCAACATTTAGGTGGAATAACGACTTCTATGGCAAGTCTTCACCTCTTTCTCTTCCTAACTTCCAAATGGCAGAAGTCCATAAGTATGACCAACAACTCTCTTGTACATCAGCCAAGAAATTACTTTTTCTGGCCTTTTTTTCCGAATTTTCCTGACCTGCATCCCTACCAGCCTCTTGGCAATGTGTTGCTGAGAGCAGAAAAGTGTGGCAGGGCAAGCTGGCAAGGCAAGCTAGCCGGGCTGTGTGTGACCGTGCCATCAGGCTGAAATCCAGTGGCTAGAGCAGCAGAAATTCATAGAGGACTTGTCCTTATTTTTTAAAAACTCCTTAATAAATAAGGAGTGCCCTTGTTTTTTTTTAAAGTTGTATGTCAGTTTATTTCAATTACAGCAGTGAAACCCAGAAGAAAAAGTTGAGTATTTGAGGACAGGCCCTGGATCTGATGACTTGGAGTTACAAGTGTCCAGCATGGGTGACACACAGTCAAGAAGGTCAAAGACAGTGGAGATGCAAGAGTAAACAAGTATGGGGGAGGATTCCTGATTTCCAGTGGGACAACTGGCAGATGTTTCTTGTTTCTCAGTGCAGTGACATTTGTTTTTAGTCTTAAAATACATATCGTAACTTGGGTTAAACTTTTGTGATGAAGTGCAAGAGGTGATTCTGTAGAACAGGAGATACATCATGAAGCATTAGCAAAGTTTATTTTGGAACAGGATCTAAACTCTCAGCAAAGGGGGAACAGACCCTCACCACGTTAATTTGACAGAGATCTTTGCACCTCCATCACTGTTGTCTTTTCCTGTTGGTAATTTTGGTTGCATGCTGGCTTCTACTGGAGATGATGAAACTATATGTTCTAGGAGAAACCTCGTAGCTGCTGGGTTTCAGATCGTGTTTATACAAGCTGGAGCTGCACTTGTGCCAGACCAACCAAGTGGGAAAGCTGGCCTTGCTCCATATAAACAGCTCTGACTAAGCAAGCCATGCTAAATTTGGAAAAGAATTGGGGGAACTCATTTTTCAACTGCCCTGGAGTATCTCCAGTTGCCCCATGTTATCAGTTCTTCGGAAGAGTTTCTATTACTCATGACTGTTTCCATCGTGTTTGTTTTCAGATAACTTGTTTTTATCTTCTGTAAACCAAAAGAGTTTAAAGATCCATCGTCAAACAATGGATCAAGGGTCCGTCCGCTTCTCTTCCTACCCGCAGGTAGCATTGCAATTCCTGTGGAGCTGAGTGGTGCCAGCTTCATGCGGTGCCACTCACAATCCCCTCAAAAAAACTTCTAATTTCAAGCGGGGGTAGTAGTATTTTTAACACAGTAGTGTTTTTAACACAGAGATCCTTTGCAACAAGTAGTGCAAAGACTGGAATAAACAACCTGAAAGATTTGCTCCTCGATTCGTGCTTCAGTTGATTGTAAATATAGTTTGTAAAAGTTCCACTGATGTCTTATTTCTCACTTATATATTTTATGGATTGCATAGTTCCTTACTCCTTGGTCATCAGGCTTAAAGCTGATCTAAGAAATGTTGACAGTGAAGAAATTTAGCCATAATTGAAAGACTTTGCCAAAATTACAGATATTTCCTGCAATCGTTGCAAGTTTTTTCCCAACACGAGAATTTTATTCTTTGTCCTGCTTCCTCTGCAAGTTTTTACTGCAGGATGCAGGCAGCAGTCAAGTGAGGTCCAGAGTCCTGGAGCCCTCTGTAATAGAGTAAGAGGCCACTGCAAGCTGGAAAAGAAAAAGCCACGGTGGAAAATAGGGGCAAACTCTGAGCAGGAAACTCCACTGGGGCTGAGGCCAACAACATCCTACTGCTGACTGGGACCAGAAGAGAGTAAAAAAAAAAAAAAAGCTGTAAGGAAGGTTTTAGGAAGCTTTATCCTTATTTGGAGAATAAGTGTATGTCTTTGCCTAAAGCAGGCTGGTTTTAAAAGGTTGTCAGATGGGCAGGGATTTTCTACTTCAGGAGCACTGGTATCTTGCTATTATATGCAAGATCATCCTATAATCCTTCAGTCTCAAAGAATCTCGTCTCTTTAAACTGGAGGGTTAGAGTCAAGCTCGTCACCTGGTGCTGTCCCACAAGTAAATCTGTGAAAAACTGACATAACTGAAAACATGTATATGTAATTATCAGAAAGTTATGGAGTAGTTAAATACCGCAGCTATCTGAATGGATGAAATTACCTCTGACAGCTTGGGAATGGCCCACATGAAGAGCAGATCAGAGCTGGACCCAAAATAAGCCCCTTACAAAATCTTTTGCCCTTGCCCATCTCTGTGAACTCCTCAGTCAGCTAGCTCTTTTTCCATGGCTGTCTCAGCCACACATATTTGGTTTTTTAAAATGGAATTAAGGTAGCCAGAAGTGGTAAATGTTAGTCCATCTTGTACACCAGAGCATCCTGTACACTTTCTGCTGTAAAATCCTGTGCACTTACTCTCGTAACGATCCATGGCTTTTCTCTTTGTTTAACCATATTTAAAATTATTGAAGATTTTAAAAGGCATGCTATCTAGATCACAGTCCAGGTTTGGGTTTTCACATTGCTATTTGAGTCATGTATATGCACATGGCTTTAACTTTTAGCTTCGTTTCCCTGTCTGTAAAGCATTGTTATTTCTTTGATAGGATTAATGAGTTAATTACTTGTAAATTGCTTTAAGATTCTCAGGAATGAGACTGTCAGTGTGTTTATTGCTGTTAGTGCTACTGATGAGATCTTGATCATAGCAAGACAATACAAGATTAGTGTTTATTACAGCAGGACTGAGTATCTGTTTATGTTAAAACAAAGAAGAGGCTGAAGTGCCCAATCCTGGAAAATATCCTTTGTAGGAGCTTTGAGTCAGCTTTAAAATATCACTGATAAAATCCGCTAATACAGCTAAACATTAGCCAGTATTACTTGTCTGTATGTTTCTTTGAAAACCTTATCAGTTCTTGAACACCCGTGGTACATCTTGGGGAGAGGCAGATAGCGTCTTTGCATAGAGAAATGGATTTGGGTGTGTTTTTCTCACTCTTAGAGGGAAAAACAACATCCAAACCCCAGTGTTTTACTGGGCGATTTCCCTCTGCTCTTGGTTATCGAATGCATCTCCGAGAGTTTCCTGATCTGCTGTGCAGCAAGAGGCTGTTGGTATGCTTGGGCAGTGTTTTGGGTCACTGGTGATGATCACCTCAGTTCTGCATTACAGTTTCTGAGCCCATGTGCGTTAAATGCAATTAAATCTCTATTTCTGCTTCAGGAAAAACAGAAGCTGTCATCAAAAACTTCAGCCCACACTACAGACGCCAATATGCGGTGGCTTTTTGCAAGCACGTGCAAGCTGAACTGGAGCAGCACCGGGATTCCCAGTCCCGGTTCCTGAAAACCAAGGTAGGAAGGCATGTCTATCCTGCCCCATTCTCAAGCTGCCCTACAGCTCTGCTCTCCTGCTAGAAATAACCAACACATGAACTATTTAAATCACACATTTAGTAGTGGTAATGTATGAAAAACATGAGGTGGAAGTGTATAAGCCACTGACTAGCCTTGGTTTTCTTGGTTTTCACAGCGTTGAACGCCTTGAAGTTAATAGATGGTGTCAATACTCAAAGCCTCTAAAAATCAAACCCAAAGTATTTTTAAAATTATTTAAATGCTTGTATGTATTTTGGAAAGCAGTGTTCTGCTGCTGCCTTCTTACCTCAGGCTGCAAGAATTTGATTATGTATGTGTATCTGCCTGAATCAGAGAGATGTTTGTGACTCCAAATTGCATTTGATGACTGAAAAGCCCTTGTAGCAGCCTTATGGAAGTGTAGAAATAAAAGCTTCAAAACGGACAGAGTCACTGAAGTCTCAAAATTTTTCTTTGTAGCCCCCAGTGGAAGCTGGGACAATCTTATATGAAGCAGAGCTGCTGCATTTTGCTGAGGATCTGAAGAAGTGGAAGGACAGATATGTCGTCATCAGAAACGACTACACTGTGGATTGCTTTGAGACTAAGGAGGTAAATGCTTCTTCTTCCTCTTATTTTCTCGCTATGCTCTCTCTAGGCTCCCAAATAAACTAATACGAAGTGAATTTGTCACTGCCACTGCCTTTCTTTGAGCAGTACTAGGTGAAATGTTGTCCTTAGTGAGGTGGCTCCAGCCTTCTGGAGCTGGCTCGAAGCTCCACGGGGATGGCTGAGGGTACAACCAAGCGCCTTGTGTTGGCTGCGTGCGTTTGCAGGAACTAGCAAATCATTTTAACAGCGCTTTGAACCTTCTTTTGCCTGTCACAGAATGCTTATCTTTATGACATTGTAATACATCCCTGTGCTTCTGTAGTTGGATTTGAAGTTGTAGGTTTTGGGTGGCTTCAAGCTGACTATGGTGAAGCTTTTTATTCAGCAACTGCCATAGTCAAACTGTTCCTGGCTGACAAATAGGGCTTAGAAGAAAATCCCATCTTTTTCTCCTCCCTTCTGTCCTTGACTCTTCACCACAGCTGATAAGATCAAGAGGATATTTTAAAATACGCTTTTTACATTTAAATATGTTCTGAATTTGACATATCTAGGGAATATATCCAGAATTCAGTCTGACAAAAAACAAATCCCTTTGGGGGATATCCCCATGCATTAGCTTTGTCAGTGAGTCGTGTATTTTATGTTTTCCCTCCCCTTAAATCTCTCTTTGACTCCCTTTCTCTTGATTTTCCAGGCCTGCCAGAAAGGAGCTAGCCCTAAATATCGTGTTCTTCCTGCAGGAGGCAAAGTACTGACTTCAGAAGGAGATTACAATTTGCTTTCTGACAAACATTTTCCAGATCCTGTTGGTAAGCACTGCTCAAAACTGAACTGCCAGACCCCAGGTTCTATTCCTTATGCAGACCTCTTCAGGACTGGGCTTTCAGGCTAGATTTCAAAATGAGGGAACAGAAGATGCATGCAGACCGTTTTCTAAGTCAAAGCACAGCTCCAGAGTGTGTCTTGACTTAGAAGCTGCCTGCTTTGACTCAGAAAATGCTATAAGCTAACATCTGAAGAAATGCTGGCTCCCATTTTTTCCAGCATCCCGGCACAAAGCCACTGGAAGCTGTGCAGAAGCAGGGCAGGAACCACACCACCATTGTTCCTGGGCTTTGTTGATATTCCTGGTTTATTTGTTTCCATTTTTAGATGCCAGCTGCCTGTGTTGACTCACGGTTGATAATAAGTCCCACAGAGAGTCCTGGAAGGTTGCTGCTGCTGAATTTGTTGTTTCTGGGACAGGAACAGCTGTGGTCCTGCCTGCCTCCACTCCATAAAGGTGGAGAAAATTTGGGCTTTAAGGGGAGGGTATCTCACGTTGGAGAGTCCTGTTTGGAAAATGGGATGCCACATAAGGAACAGGATAAGGGCAACTTGTTGAAAATGACTTTATTTTTATAAAGTCCTGTCTCATGCAATGCAAAGTTATGACTGTTGGGAGGTGCCCCCCTTACACTCCTTTCCCAAAGTGGTCAGAGGACATGGGACAATAGTGCCTGGAGGTGTCCTCTGTGAGACACCACAACTCTGCAGGAGTTGGAGTTGAGCAACATGGAGCAACCCAAGGTTGCTTGTGGGCTTCCCATGGCTCTCCCTTCACAACAAGTGGCTCAGTCTTTTCTGGCCCTTCTGTGCGATGCTGAAGACCCTCCGAGGTGAACCTCTGATGGCTGGGCTCTTCATGCACGGCACAGAGACAAGATGGGGTTTGGTCATCCATAAAAGGTGTTGTCCAGCATCCCCTGTGCACAGAGACTCAAGCCAGGTGGAACCTGGAGATATTTAGTGCTTTCTTTCCTTCACCTTCAGGGGTTTGAAGTTGCAGTCTGTAAAGCTGTCTTGCAGCTTTGGAAACGGCTGCTGTTCCTACATGGTTTAATGCAGTTTGTTTCTGTAAGGAAGACCATGTGATCCTATCTATTTGGAAGAGACCGGAGCTGCTCACTGAGTTACTTATTTGCATGGAAACCTTTTCCCTAGCAGCTACAATCCAATTAAATACTTTCATTTAAATTTTACCAAAAACATGTAGTTTGTGGCCACCTTGAATACAAAACAAAAGGGCATCGAGTTGTCGTCATATAACATAGAGAGGTGGTTGGTGCCTGCTGAGCTTACCCAGCCTAGCTGTGTCCTCCTGCTCACTGTGCTCAGTCCTTTTGATGAAGGAGACTCAATTTTTTCACGTCTCGTACTTCCCTGCTGGCAAAGGTCTGTTCTCGCTCTCACAGCAAAGAAAAAGAGCCAACCCCCAGAAAGGAATCTGAAGATTTCAAATGGAGACATGTTTTTTGTGTAGGGTCAAGTGAGAAGGAGGTTGCTCAAGCTTTCGTTCAGCTGCCGAGGGAGTTCCCGGTGTACTTGTGGCAGCCCTTCGCCCGGCACAGCTACTACTGCTTCACGGACCCAGAAGCTCAGAGGCAGTTCAGCGCCGTGCTGGGGGACTGCGTGAGACACTCAAACCATGGTGAGTGCAGAAAGGGCCACTTCCTCTATGTCATTCACCCCGGTGAAGATTTAAATAGTTATTATAGTCAAAAAAAATGTAGAAGAATGCAAGTTGCATATGAAAGACACTTGGCTTTCAGTTCATTGAGGAATGCATTAACATACCCCTTCTTGGTTTGTTGGGAGCAAGGTTAAGATGGTATTTGAGCTGCAGTGCACTAAGCTTGGGTAGAAAACATGAGGGAGTTGCTTTGAAAGTGACATTCCCTTCTCTTGTCAGCTCATCTAAATCCAGTATCATGGTACAAAATCATAGGTGATATTTACTAAATATGGCACGGCAAACTCTCACCTGCATTTGCAAGCTTGATGGATGCATCGTAGATATTGTAGACCAGGCTTGTACAACGTGATGGGAATGTAGACTCCCAGTACGTTTCAGTAACGTTATGCATGTATCACCAGTGGTCCAAGATTTGATGTTTTCCACAGGTGTTCAGGTGGCATCTCAAGCCTCAGCCATGGTTAAGTTTGCAGGAGGGACATGAATGGTGTGTAAGACACAGAATTAATTGTTAGCACAAGGACAAATTCTAAATTTTGTTTTCTGGGCATGTTAAACTAAGAAACCTTAAAAAATCTCAAACTCATGACTTGCTAAGGGTTATAAAACCAGCCTTCCTCCCATGAAATTGGAAGACCATTTCTGAGTTGGATTCTTCAGAAAAAGAAATGCTTTCCTGTTTTTCAGATGACTTTTCTCTTTTTCCATCAAACTGACCTGGTTCCCCTGCTGGTGTCCAGGCTCTGCCAGGCCCTTACTGTCACTTTCAAGTCTGCTCTCTTCTTGCTGCCCGTGGTGGGAAATGGGAACACTTGGGAACTTCTCCAGCAATCTCAGGCACTTGGGCCTGAAGCCCGTGCTTGCAGATAAATGAATTGAGAGTGCAGTGTGTGAGCAGTCCCTTTCACTTGCAGAAGTGGCCCCCGGTGTATTTTTTTTAGCTGTCACTTTTGTCTCCTGGTCATCAGCTTCAGACAGCTCTCTCACACTGTCCTCCCCAGATCTTTCTCAACTGCCATCCCCTTTAGGACTCTGTTTTGATGGTAAAAACACATTACTGTATTTCTGTGTGGTTTCCTAAGATGTGCAGTTATTTGTGTAGTGCTCAGTGATGGTTGGTGACAGGTGCCTTTTTCGCAGGACACGCAGGATTCTTTGTCCCAATGCTAGCCAGCTGCTGTATGTTCCCCTGACACTGGGAGATCTGCCTCTTCAGCTCGTTTCCTAGCCATGCTGAAGGTGCTGAGATGCAGCGTGCCCTTCTAGCTCTGACAACCTCATACAAACCAGAGGAAGCAGCTCCAGTGCAAATCCATGTAGGTGTGGAGAGGCTGAGGGCTAAAATCCCCTGGTAGGCAAATAGTCACGGGGACTATTTCCTGACTAGATTTAACATAAGCTGGAGGCATAAGTCTAGAAGGAACATGCGTTGGCACTTCCAAATAGCTTGAGTCTCAATAAATATTCTCTATATGGCTGTTGGAGGAACCTGCATTCCTGTAGCGTGCGCGAGGGCAAAGCCTGCCTCTGATTTTCAGTTTTGATTTGCCTGCTTTGAGCTGCAGCAGTTATACAGTATGAAAGTGCTCTGGGCTTTGGAGAGCCACCCTTTTGCTCCTCAACAAAGTTTCCTAAGGAGATGGGGATTCAATCAAGTTTTCCTGGCACTGTCAGACCTCCATGACTTGAAGCCTGTTCCTGAGGTTTGAGATCTTTCATTTCTCTCTTGTGGAGTAAGTGTAACAGACTGGACAAAGCTTTTGGCAGCCTTTTTTTTTTTTTTTAATTTAAAGTTCAGCACATCACTCTAGGGGCCAATTCTGAATTGGCAGAAGCTGGGACTAGATGACATAATAGGTCTTTTCCATCTCCAGTGCCTGCGAGTCTGTGTTTTACTATATTTCATATGGCTCGACTCTTGCTCATATATGCATCTGTTCCGGGATTTATCCCTCTCGGCTTTTTCTGTGGTCAAGTTTTTATCTGACAGGAGATGCTTAGTGGCACCGGAGTGCCTGCATCAAACAAGGCTCATCCTTTCTGTCATATTTATTTCTGCTCAGCAGACTGATCGGGACATAAGGACAGTCTGGATTAAGACCTACTGTTAACCCAGTAAAACTGAACAGGTTTTTACAGATAGGGAAAAGGGAGCCCATATTTTCTGAATTTCTTGGAGTGATACCATCTCCTAGAAACTGAGGTGCTGCAAACAGAAAAATGACCCCTGTCACCTTAACTCTGCGTATGGCGTGAACTTCTTCAGGTTTTTTTTCCAGGGACTTCATATTGATTTATATTGATAAGATGTTACTTTATTGATACTTTTTAAAGCCTTATTTGCAAACAATTACAAAAACCAGGTGTCAGATAATCCAACAAAGTTATAGGCATGTGTAGCAATACAATGGGTAGGAACGTTTGCAATATAAAAATCAGCTGTGTTCTTTCATTAAAAAACAGTGAAAAGAGAGAAGAAAAGTGAAAAATCCTTCACGCTTCCCATCTTATCTAAGAAGTACTGAGTTAGCTTTTGCCCAGGCAGATTTGGCAGGGGTGGGAGAAAGACTTATGTAATGTCTGATCAGGATTTGCCTTTCTGTCTTTTCTATAATCTGCCCCTTCTGGAAGGGAATGTATTGTGCTGGGCTTTAGCCAAAACTTGGAAGAGTTTTCGGTTAAAGTCTGCTTTCTCCCAGGAGGCAGAATTAAATACGATCTCTTGCTGACCAGAAAACTGGAGTGAGTCAGCACGTGGTCTTGCAATGGGAGCCACCCTGGCATCGAGCTATTTCCTCCCTTTAAAGTCCCTCTGTTATAAATAACCAGTCCAGCCTGCATTTCTGGGTTTTCTGGTCAGAACTCACAGTCAGGAGAATAATTACAAAAAGCATTTGGATTTGGTGATCTCCGCTTGTAACCATGATTCAGATGTATGGATTGCAGGTACTCCCCCTCCCCAATTTCCTTATTGTGTTCAGCCTTTATATTAATTGATGTGTTTGCAGTTCAAGGGGACAATGATTTCTTTAATTATCGATGGTGTATGTAGATCTTTTGCACCCTTCTTGAGCACAGTTCAAACAAAGCATATTTAAAAACTTGGAAATAAGCCTAAACCAACCAGGAGCTGACCGACTGTGGCTTTAAAAAATATTCTAGCACAACTAGACGCATACACTGAGATTCCCTGAATTACCCTCTCTCTGAAAGTTGATTGATTCATTTTATTGTGTAAAGCATGTTATGAGGTATGTGAGTTTTATTATGGGATGTTTAGGGACAGGACCAAAGGTAGGAACAAGGAGGGATCAAAGTGTATTGGAAAGGAACAGGTGTGGGATAACAGAGGAAAAAGGGGATAAAGGGGTACGGAGCTGCTCTCAGGGACGCAAGTGCAGAAAGACATAATGAGAGCTGCAGCTACTTCGCTACCAGATTTGGTGACTCTTAACATAAGCCACACTTGCATTGGTGTCCCTTTCCTATCTGAGTTTGAGTCGAATGTATTTTAAAATTGCTTCTTGCCATTCAGCATATGACCCTTCTCCTGTGAAAATTAATGGCTGTGTGACTTTGCTCCCAGGAAGAAAAAGGTGACTGCAGACATTTGCATGCTCGGTACTGAGGTGCTGCTGTCGGATCTTTGCCATTATCTCAAAAGCTCCATCAAAAAGCCTCCTTCCCTCCAAACTGTCTGTTCTTTACCAGCAGCTTAGTAATGAAGGAGTTCAGTGGGCTGCATGAAAGAACATTGTGTACAGCTGTGAAATGCTGCTACTAATTTCTTATTGAATTTATTATCTAGGCATAGGATATAAAACATTATAGCGAGCATATTTGCTAATTCCAAAGCTTTTGGGCTTCAGTCGATGAATATTATAAATGAAAGGGTGAGTTAAATTAGTTAAATGACATAAATGTGTCTATGGAACAATAACATTGAGGGGAGGTCTCTTCATATATAACATGGGTTGGCCAAAAAACATTCCCTGCAGAAGAATAACAAGCCAACAGATAGAGAGAAGTGAATAGTGAAATATGGTGGTGTGGAGTAATGCAGCCTAGGGATGGGTCTTGATAAAGATAATTCCACATACAAAGAACTGACACTTCTCTGGAGAGAGAGTTACGCAATGAAATTTTCAACGTTCACTTTGCTGGTCTGTTCCTTGTGCACAGGATATTGGCTGTATTTTCCCACGGTGTTTATGTAGCCTTCACTGTTTTAGTAAAACCGAAAAAGAAATGTTTCAAGTGACAAACGTGTTGCAACAAAAGGTAGCTCTTGTAAAAAATACTGTTTCAAGGGTTACTGGAGAACTCTTGCTTTCTGATCTGATCTTAGGTGGGGCGCATTTACAGTGTATTAAATGTGGCCTTATTGGCTTTAGTAAATAATTAGTATTGTTGACTGCATTTGAATTTTTTGTATCAAAAGATCCTACGTTACATAATTTTATAAGAAGTATTGCTGTATTTGTTTCAGTCTTGGTGATTCACAATTAATTCAGGAATATAACAGCGTGTAAAAAGAATACCAATTGTGTGTAAACTTCCTGACAAAAAGAGCAGCAAGAAGGAGAATTTTCTGGCTCTAATATTATTTTTTAACTTTCCCTCCCTAAGTTTTGCCTCAGTTGAGTTTTTCTTACGTTGTCAGAGAGAAGCTGCTGATTGTTCACTGTTACCTCCAGGGAGCTTGTTCTTCTCAAGCATCTGTGGAGGTCAGACCTTCAGCAGTGTAGGATTATATGTAATACTTAGTTTCAAGAACTTTTCAGGTTTTTAAAGAAGCTGTGTTTTTGAGATAAGTGTGGAAGGAAATGGCTTCATTTTTTTCACCTCAAATTTAGGGGGAAATTTTCTTCTGAAATGGCCACCTAACCCCCAAGTGGGGAAGTGTTGTCAGCCCCAGAATGGCAATAATGAAGGAAACGCTCGAAATATTCACA